AAAGCATTGCATAGTTTGAGAGATTACCTGAGTAAATGTTTTACAACTCAATGTGTGGCTAACTCTTTTAATAAAAAACAACTTCTAAATTTGTCCTAGAATACAACAGAAGCTTTTAACTTCTATAAATTTTATTAAAGACCTGAGGCCACTTAACTCCTTATCTTTTTAAGGGTAAAAATCTAAATTTATGCAACAACCTGATTCACTTATTTCTAAGATTCAAATTTTAAATTCAAAATCCAGTGATTATCCAAAATATGTTCATTCCAGCTATGTCTTGTTGCTTCTATTCTGTTCTGCTGGTCTGCTTGCTTGGGGCATCATTTCACCCTGTTTCCTTTCGCTGTTCATATATGAGCTGATCTTCTGCTCTTACATACAGGCTCTTGAGACAAATGAAATGTGTATATGAGATAGTTTTGTTAGTACAAGGCCCTATGCAATATGCTACTTGCTACTGCCATTCTTGACCTCCACATTAACATTWAAAAAAAGAAAAAAACAAAAGGTCTTAAAGTTCTATTTGATGAAAATCCTTCATAGTCCATTTTCTACTATTCATATTTATGTGAATTTGTGATTTAAGACAAACAACTTTAACTTCCTTTTCCCTTCTAGCACTACCTTTGTAAATGTTTGGATTGTGATTTCATGAGAACAGGCAAAAAGCATATAATTCACTCTTCAATAAAATGCTCTTTATTTATATAAAAGTGGTTGGCATAAAAGCACTGATATCAATCAAGGGAGAAAAGGCAGCACAATATTAAATTGGGATCACAGTTTGGAGAAGTTTCTTGGAGTATCAGGATCAATTTAGAAGTCTGATTCAAAGTCAGACTTCTAAGATCTCACCCCAGATGGATGAGAGTGGAGTGGATCAGTTCCTGGGTGGGGGAGGAGGGATTGTCAATCTCCATTTAAACGGGCTCTCTAGCTGATTCTTAGGTACACTGAAGTTTGAGTATCTATCTTTGCTGTGTGCTTCCCATGTCTCTGCAGGATAGCTGTGGAGTGTGGGCAGTAGTGTGGTGGCCCAGGGAGGTAATGATGGCAGGGGAAGGGGGAGTTGTTGGTTTTCAATGGAGTTGAAATGAAGATCTAGAAGCGGAGTGTAAGAAGCCTTGACCTGCTAAGTGGACCTCTTGTCTTCCAGCTCCAATAAAATTCAGTAGTTCTGCTTTTGTCTTTTTTACACACCAGGATTCCCTTGGATTTATCAAAAAGTTCTTCTGAAGGCATCGATAAATTCCTTAAGACATATGAACTACCCAGATTGAGTCAGGAAGATATAAACAACCTAAACAGACCAATATCAAGTGAGGAAATAGAAGAAGCCATCAAAAGATTACCAACCAAGAAAAGCCCAGGACCGGATGGATATACAGCAGAGTTTTACAAGAACTTTAAAGAAGAACTAATACCAATACTCTACAATCTATTTCAGGAGATAGAAAAAGAGGGAGAACTTCCAAATTCATTCTATGAGGCCAATA